CACACACACACACACACACACACACACACACACACACACACACACACACACTCACACACACACACATACGCATACACGAACCATTTACACAAACCCACCCAGGTGCACACGCACAATCAAGCACACACAAATAAACATTCTATCAAATTTCTACATTGATATTAAAATGGGGACTAATCAAAACTACCAAAATAAACCATTTTATTTTAGAAAAAGTTCTTTTTTTTATTTGAATGAGGGTCTTTAGATTGTGGTAAAATATGATACTGGCCGAATTAACAGGCTCAAAGTGCAAGTGTGAAGAAAAAATGTAATGGTACTACATGTATCTAGCACCTTATCGCCCCAAGTTACATCGTTTAGCGGTCCGGTTGCTTTGACCCTCCCTGCAATTGCCAATGCCAACATGGACTGAGTGGATACGGCATACGAGCGAACGGCTAAAGAAAAACAAATCTCACGTCTCGAATCGAACATGTATCTTTTGTGTGTGACAGTGAAGAGTCGAACCACTGCACCATAATACACCAATGTTTGTGCTTGACGACATCTATAATAAAGTTAAGTTGATCAGAACCACACCAAGTGCATTTTTAACTTCTCAACTGTTAATATTGGAAAACTCAATTTTTCTAATACCAACCGCGAAGAGTTTGAGGACACCACAAGTGGATCCTACTTCCTTTCCATCTCACTTTCCTTTTTTTTCTTCAACATGTCTGGTTTGCTCTGTTCCTACGCTAAATAGTTAAATTATTGTTATTGTATCGGTATTCCTCTTTTTATCTAAATTACTAACAACCCAGCATCTCAAAGTTTAAGTTTTGGGGCTGTATTCAGTGTTTTAAAGCTTTGGATAATTCTGCTAAGTACCCATCTTCACAGTTAGTACGACAGGGTTTGAATCCTCAAAGGGAAAGAGGGAGGGGAGGACGGCTCAAAGTTGGGTTGTTTAGTGAATACTTGTTGAACCCAGTAAACTCCCTGTTTACGTAAATATTTCATGCGCCGTAAAAGCATTGTTTATCACTTTAGGAGAAGAGCTGCTTTGAGCGAGCCCAACAGGAACCGACTGGAATACAACGTGACCCCAAGCAGACAGAATTATTCTTATTAAAAACTTCCCATTTGGGAATCAGACTTATGTTTCTACTTATATCATCAAAAAGCTGTTTGTTTTTATCTCTATTTTGTGTCTGTCTGTCCCCTTATCTTTCTCGCTCTCTCTCTCTCTCTCTGTTTCTCTCTCTCTCTCTCTCTCTCTCTCTCTCTCTCTCTCTCTCTCTCTCTCTTTGTGTGTCTCTTACTCCCCACTGTTCGGTTTATTGAAGCGTTTTGTGAAAGAAGGATCTTAGATCGAGTGTTCCAATTCTTTGCTGAGCTAGCCGTGGGGTGTCAAACTGTAACAAGTTATACATTGCACATTGCACTTAAATTTTTGCTCCACTTATTATTTATTTATTTAAAACCTATATCTTCAACCATCAACTGA